AGGAGGGGGCGGGTTCACAGCACCAGTTGGTGGACCTGATGGAACAGTGCCAATGCCTATGCCTATGCCCATGCCATCTCCAAATACTCCTTTCTCATGGTCACTTCCAAAGGGACCAGTAAGTATACATGTAAATAAGTGGCTGTAAGCTCTAGAAAATGTAACAGAAGATGACAAATTGGCTCTGTGTATACACTCAGGAATTGTAGGTTGTCAAGAGGATTTAGCAGGAAGAACATTTGGTTATTAGCTTAATGATCATATTGGGGGAAAAATGTCATGGGGATTCAGAGCAAGTTTTTTGGTTCAGCTGTAGATAATTTAATGGAAAAATCTGGAGAGAGGGTGCTAGAAAAACTCAGTGTCATGTAGTTTTTTCACCCAACATCTTTGGGACCTGTTGCAGGCACACTAGTAGCTTTTTCCAAAAAATAACAATCACTCGTTACAAGGTTAGTAAAACCTTTTGTAGACAACAAGATGAAGGTCATTACTAGTCAAGTCTGATAAGAATCTTCCCTTGTAGATGTTGAAGCAGTTGATTTAGTAATTTGAAGACTAGCCTTTGGCTACAGATCTTTAAAAATCTGGAATCCTTCTGATGACGTGTGGTCCTTTTGGGGTTCTGGAATATATATGTATATAAATACGTACATACATACATATGTATATATAAAGTCTTCATCGATAGGTTCTTTGACTTTAAGTGAAATGACTCAGTATTACGAAATCCAATTTTACCACAGGCTAATTGATAGAAACCAGTTATTTGAGGACCTCCTATGTATATATATGTCTCTCCCCACTTTCCATACACCTCAGAGAATTGCAAGTTGCGGGTAGTGTCTCTGATGTTGCCTTTCTCTTACAGTCAGATTTCAATGGATTGCCAATGAGGACTTTACAGGCCTTTCCCAATATTCATCCACCCCAGATACCAGCAACTCCCCCATCGTATGAATCTGTAAGTGCCTGAGCCTCTTTTATAAGCAGCAAGAGAGTGAATGCCATGAAGAGAGAGCAAAATAATGGCCACAGGGAAGGCAAAGTTTTGATTAACTCCTAGTACCGGCATTGCTTTTGCTTTGGATTCTTGTGTTGCTTTAACATTACCTTGGAAATGGAGTGTGGTGGTGGCAGCATCATTGGTGGCAATGCTTTGTCTGCAATTCAGCCAGGAATCAGGAGGGGGGCTGCATATCTTTAGAAGTTCTAGTAGGGCACTTAACCAGTCTTTATGCAGAGAATCTCTTGGAGCTGGTACAGTCCTGATGCTAGCATATCCTAGTAATTAAAATAACCAGTTTTATAAATTCTCAATACTGTGTAAAGGAATAGTGACCAGATTTTTGTCTTATGCAGAAGTGTCTAATTAGTACATTTTAGTCTGTAGCATTAACTTTACATTTTAGTCTTAGTTAAAACTTGCTATAAATACCTAATATGGTAATGATACCTTGACCTGTAGGTGGTTGTGGCCGCTTTGGTTTAGAATTAGATGTCTTGTTTTCCGCTAGCCTTGTTTCCTGCTAGCCTTGTTTCCTCAGTATGTGCGTTTTCAGACCTGTTTCCATATGATGCATTACTGAGAAAACAAACTGCTGTGGTGTTTGCTGTGGAAATTATTCATCTAGGAAGAGTCCCTGTTCCTGAGCTTGCTTAAGTATTCTTTCCTTTGGTTTATGCGTTGGGCCTGAGTTTTTGTTTCGGTCTTACACACATTGAAGCATTGCCCACAACTGTTTCTGGGAATGGGGTAGAAGATCTTCAGTATTTGAGGACTTGGTTTGGAGATGAGTTCAGTGGTTTACTGCTTTCTCTCTTCCTGGAAGATGAAGGTATCAGATTAAAGAGGTTATGGTGTAGTAAGAATTTTCTTTTTCTCTGCTTGGCAGTTAAGAGTTCAACATGATATCCATCTGGTTGGAAGATCAGGAAGGCATACAGGGGTTGTGGGGCAGTTCCTTTGGAGCAGGTGCTGTTGCTTTTGCTGAGCAGCTTAGCTTTTGGAAAACATGGTCTCATACCACATTGGTACTCTTCTCCAGTGATGCTATTGCGTTCTCCTCTGGTAACAATTTTTGTGTTTCAGGTTGATGACAATGCTGATAAGAATGTCTCTTCTACACAGATTGTTGGTGAGTGTGAGTCAAATCCTCAAGGCTCAGTGCTGAGCCCTCTGCTGTTTTCGCATTACTGTTCCTCCTCAGAGACTGTTTTCCTGTCCATGGCATTCAGCCCACATGCCCTATCCCTTTTCCAAATGTAGTACGGTAAAAATGTAACTCAGGATTTCCCTCCTCTAAAAGGAAGAGATCTTCTCTGGTCCCCAAGAATCTCCCAAGGTCCCGGTTTCTGTTAGTGGTAGCATTCTTTTTCACTCATTGTTTTTTCAACTTCTAGTTTTCAGTTACTGTCAAGTTCTTTATGTTCTTGCTGCTTCAGCTTCTATTGTGCCTGGAAATTTTAAAAAGGGGGGAGGGGCATTACAGAGGGGGTGAATAGGCACAAATTATAAGTGAATAATATAGCTCAGCGACGTTTCACAAAGCAGGCATGCTCACATAGCCATCCACACTTGGCATTCCAGAAACTCTTGGGGGGTATATTTTTTAAAATTAGAGATAGTTGTTTTATTGAGGTATAACATATACAAAAAATCACAGAAGTGTGTATTTGATGACTTGTCATGTGTGCTCTATGCACACACACACATGCATGTAATATGTAACCACCATCTTAATAAAATGTAGAACATTTCCATCACCCCAGAAAAGCTCGCCTGTGTTCTTTTCTGCACAACTCCACCTTAGAGGCAAGCACTGTTCTTGTATTTTAAAGTTATAGTTTGTTTGCCTATTCTAGAACTTAGATATAAACAGAAACAAACGGTAGAGAGGGGGGTGACTGAACTTGTAAAATACAAAACAGAAGACTAGAAATACTGTCAGATCTATTAAATCAAATGAGACTTACATGAACATTCCTTATTTTTTTTTCTCCTAAGCCTTTAACAGCTCATCCCAACAGAATTCTGTTACCACTCCTTGGACACTGTTGTTATGGGAGCAGATCTTTGTGAAAGGGAACAGTTTATTTAATTAATTAATTAATTTATTTTAAAGATTTTATTGGGGAATTGGGGAAGGGAAACAGACAAGTTGCTGTCCTTTTATTCTTCAGTCTAGTTGTGGAGAACGTCGCTTCACTGGCCCATGTTGGTATTATCATTGCGCTCTTCCTGGGTTAGGCAGTTGCTCACCGGCCACTGGACGGTGGCTCATGAAAGCTCACGCCAGCTGCCGACCAGCCCCACTGCAGCCCTACACCTCACGGCAGCCCAGCTCCAGGTCGAGCTGTTATTCACCATCTTAGCTGTAGAGGCGCAGTGTCACTGGCCCCTGTGTGGGATCCGAACCGGGGTCCTGCTGCTCAGGGCTGGCGTCCCAAGCCAGCTCTTAACCAACGCGCAATTCAGCTGGCTCCGGGAATGCTCTGTGTACTTACCTTTAGAATTAAATATATGCAGAGGGTACCAGAAAAATGTATACACATTTTAAGAGGAAAAAACTGTATTAAAATTGTAATACTCAATATATACCGATAACAAAAGATGAATACAAGTCACATTTGACTTCTGCAATTACAAAAGGTGCTCAAAGTGGTTACCATCAGCCTCCAGACACTTCTGATTATGGCGAACTACTGCTTGAGCAATGTTGACCAAAGTGTCCACTTGTATACATTTTTTGGCACCCCTGGTAAATTTTTAAACTAGTGTTTTCTCCTATGTTTTGATGTTTCTGCCAAAGGGGATTGTGGGCTTTGAGGATCTGAGCCACTTCTCTGGCATTTGGTAACACTGTGCTCCTTGCCCTAATTTAATTAGGTCCTGGACCAAAGCCAGAAGCCTCTGCAAAGCCGCCCCCTTCCAGACCTGTGGACACCTATGACAACTTTGTACTACCCGAGTTACCATCCGTGCCAGATACACTACCAACTGCATCTGCTGGTGCCAATACCTCAGCATCTGAGGACATTGACTTTGATGATCTTTCCCGGAGATTTGAAGAGTTGAAAAAGAAAACATAGACTTCTTAAACCAGGCAAGTTTGGGAGTTGATACTGAGCGGTTTCTCCTAACGAAGAACCTCCATGAAATTCTGTTTTCATCTCTTAACCATCACCGAACACACTACACTCTTCCTCTGGGCTTTCTTCCTGCTCTACCAAATTCTGCTGCTTTCCAGTTCTTTATTGCTTCTAAGAGACGAACGACTGGAGACACACTGAGGCCGGAGCAGCTGGCTTCTGTAAGCTTTGCTTGTTGGCGTCTTGTCATTGTGATCCCAGGTTCTCTCCTCGCCTGTCCCACCATCCCTCCACAGGGAGTGAGAAGGTAAAAGAATTGTGGGAAGAGCTGCCAGAGATGGCTGGATAATGGAACAGAGTACTTTATGAAGTTTCTCCACCCTGTGCTGAGGTTCCAGATGTAGAAACAAACCTCTCTGTATAGAGGGATTTGCGGTGAGTGAGGATCAAGGCCAAGGTGTATGTTTTCTCACTCTAATATGAATGGGGGAGAGAGATAATGACTCAGGAAGCCACTGTAACCGTTCTTGGAAGCTGGGTCCTCTCACTGGCATATGTACTACTCCTTGCTGCAGGGCACTATTCCACCTGGATCCAGTTGCAAGTTTATTTGGAAAGTTGAAGGTCTCCTTTAGTTCTGCTGGATTCTCAGGGAGCCCTCTGTGGCCTTTTGTTTTATTTGAGTGCTGTGTTTCCCTTTTACCAGAGGGCAGCAATGTATAAATTCCTGTTTTTCCCCTAGCATGTTCTGTTGGATTGCATTACTGATGAAGGACAGGTCACAAACTGGGCAGAAGTCACCGTTCAAGGCGAAGGTGGGCTTCCAGTTGCCTTAATAGAAGTATTCAAGTCTCTTGAATAGTGAGTTGGAAAGCCTACAGGAGAAGAGGGTTTCCTGTTTTCATTTGAAAACTTTACGATTTAAGAGAATCTTTAAAAACTGATCTCATAAATTTTGGTGCCCATGTGGCTGCAGTTGTTCACTGCTTTCCTCAATGGCCAAGACTCTTACTGTTGTAACTTACATGTTCCTTTGCCCTCTAACTAAAGCCGTCCTTTCCCACAGGGATGGCTTTGGGATCGCAAGATAATGACTTTGGCTTCTGTGTAATGTATCTGTACATACCTGTTTCAAGCAACTTTTCTTTAATGTTTTTGATTGGTTTGTATCTCATACATAGCAAGTAGCTGATAATAAAGTTAAAAATTCTGTGTCCGGCTTTTTCCACTGGTTTGGTTAAGTGATGCGGTACATAAGCAAGTGACTCATGTTGGGCACAAGCCAGCCCTTACCTTAGGCTTTCTGGGTAATGCGGACACCTGCAGCAGTATGGAGTCCATTTCAATGTCTGTATTTAAGTCTAGAGGTCATCTGGGAGTTTGCTTGGTTACTCCTCTTTGGCTTTGTAGAGGCTTCTGACTTGGGTCCAGAACCTAATTAAATTAGGGCAGGGAGCACAGTGTTAGAAACACACTCCTCATCAGCCAGATCTCATGCTTGTATGTTTATTTTTAATCGACTGCAGTGAGTTCGCTTTTGATTCATTCATATTTCCCACAATCATCCTGGAACATTGTGAGTGTTCTGTGCCTTGCTACTTCCAGCAGAGCCTACTTATCCGGTGTCTGTCATTCACCCTTGCAGCATTAACCCTTTCCCGACAGTGCCAAGATCCATAAACAAAAACTTTCAGCCAAGGGGATTCCTCACTGACTTAAAGATTAAAGTGTATCATAAACACCTACAGTTTTCTAAGCTATGCCATGCAAAGGTAACCATTAGCTTCGAGGTAACAGGGTCAATATAGTTCATCTTTTAAAACTTCAGTGTAAATGCCCATTACTATCACAGCTGTTCACTCACATGTGTTCTGGTGCCGCTGGATTCCTAATAAATTCGAGAGCCTCTGTAGCAGCATATCTATCAGTGAAGCTTCTTTGCAAGTCTATTGGAAGACAAAAGGAGAAAAGCAAGGAAATTGAAATTGTTGCTAATGTTGGAGGAAAATACCAAAGAGGAAAAAAAAGTAAAGATAGTTTCCTTATAATGATTTGCTGTCAGGTATTGGAGTGTTTCTGCTATGCAATAGTTGAAGGCCAGCTATTTATAGGACAGTGGGTAGAATGTAATGTAGTCTTGGTACGCTGGGTTTCCTAGGAAAGTAGTTGGCAGAGCTGTGGAGACTCACAGAGGGAATATGCTGGTACTGTGCACTGCATCAGTCTGAAGAGCAGCTACAGTTGTGCTCTGCCAGTGGCATACAAGTTTATACAGGTATTCCCTGCTTTTCAAAAGTTCTCTTATGCCACTTCACTTTTTAGGAGAGACCTACGTTAGTACCTGTTGTCGCTAACCGAAAGAGATCTGAGGAGGACCTTCACTTGCATGAAAAGGCGAGAAGTGAAAATAGTGTTCAGTGTTTGCAATGAGCTGTTACAGAGGCAGTGTGCACTGGTGTGTGAAATTACACTGCACATACCTTGTTTCCACATTATGGAAGCTGTATATGATACCATTCCTGCTTTTACTATATGTTAGTGTTATTTTAGATTGGATGTGTTACCTGGTAGGTTATTTTATGGGTCTGAGAATGCTCAAAAAAATTTCCCATGTAGATTAACGGTAATTACTTCTGCACTTATATGTCATTTCAGCTTTTGAAAGTGTTCATGTGCGCGCTCTTTCAGATAGCCGAGCCACAGAGTTACCTACCTTAAGGAACTTTCTTTCTTTACCAAAGGACATTAGAATGGCAGAAACAAACAGGTTAATGATCACAAGGACCATCAAGATGACACTGGTGAGGATCAGAAGGGAGCCCAGGATTGGGTCTAAAGCAATAATCTGGAAAGACAACAAAACACTTTGAGGTTAAACACTGACAGTTTAATTTTTACTTTAAAAAATGTGAGTTATATGCTAATGTTTGGGATATATTCACATAAGAAAACACATCTGGTAGAAACTAGGGAGAAAAGCAAAACTATTAAAAAGAAGAATACTTTTGAGTGGACAGAAGAGCAAGAATGACTAACTCTAAGGGTGTAAAAATAATTGTGCCTTTAGGGCTTTCACAAGAAGAAAACAGGTGAGTTGCAAAATTAAAATGATTCAAAGCCCATCTGAGTTTTGGTAATTCTGGAAAACATATCCAAATGTGGAAGCTTCAATGAGTAGCAAAAGTGTATTAAAAGAATAAATACCAGAAATGATAATGAAAAGTGTCTCTGCCAGTCCAAGAAACTTATACTCTAAACACAGGAGCATTCCAATATCTAACAGGTTAGCCAAAGAAAACCAGCCTTCAATTTAGTATTTTTTTCTTCATTATCTTGAAAAGTGTAAATACTGAGTTTTGCCATTCTTTACTTTTCAGCATAAAGAGATCTTTCTAAAATTTAGGGCTTACTAGAATGGTTTTCATAGCAATCTTATTAATTTAGGTGTTTGTTTTCCCTTCGTATTGGCTCATTCATTGTTGCCACCAGAACACTGTTTAAAAAAAAAACACCTAAAAACTTAGATCATGAATACATACAATAAATACCACTGTGATGGAAAGCTCTGATATGACAAAACATTTCCCAGTACCAGCCTATCATCCACTTAATTAAAAGTGCTTAATGATATGAAGTTCGGGCAATGTCTGAGAGTGTGATGTAAGACTTTTCCCCTTCACATTGTAAGATTAGAGCAGAAAAGTTGTTTTAAAACTAAAAACATTAGCAAAAGTTTATTATTTTGATTACTTCTTAATAAGAGCTTTAGTAATATAAAGTGTTCCAGGGGTGAGGGCTTCATCCCTGGTGATTGGGACTAAAACCGCAACAAAATAGTCCACCCAAAACAGCAGTTATCTTATGAAGGTGGTAACTTTCCATATTAGAAACTTATTTACCCATTTTAATTACCTTTGAAATAAGCCTTGATAAAAATCTTGCCAGTTTCACTGATCTGAACTGCAGTCTTTTTCTTCCCAGATCAAATCTATATGTGTTTGGGACCCAAATCCTCATCTAGATTTCCTACTTTATTTTTATTTTTTAATTAAAAACATTTTTTTTTTATAGCTGAGCAATTCTGCCACCTGTTGGCAGCTCAGTGGCAGCTCAGCTCAGGCCAGGACTCGAACTGCTGTTGCTCAGAGCTTGCATTCTTGAGCGAGCTCTTAACCAAGTGAGCCACGCAGCTGGCCCCGCTACTTTATTTTTTATGTTGAATAGAAAGGGATTTGTGTTGGGAGTTCCTGGGGAAAAATAATAGACTTTCCGAAATGAGTATTCATTATAAGCAATCATCACAGTGCTTCCTGGAATTGACCTCCCTATTTTTCTTGTCACTTTCACTGTATACTTCAAAGGGCCATTAAGAAAGCACCAGCAACCCCATGTTAATCTGGCCAGGTACGAGCTCACAAGTTCAAGCCCAGTGTCCTTGGCAATAAGGTTAAGGCTACAAGGAATGAGGCAGGTGGGACTATGTGCTTAGGAAAGGACAGGTTTCTGAGTAATAGCCACTCAAAAGCTGTATGCATAGTGTCATAAACCAGAACGGCAAAGGGTCTAAATCTCGCCCTTTTCGAGTATGCAGTGGTGTAAGTCAGGGCTGCTTTATAAACAACTTTACCCTCATTAGATACAGTAAACCAAATAGAGTTCTGTAGGGAAAACAGGATGGAGGGTTTCACCTCTTTGTGATTAGAGATTCCCATCAGGAGACCAACAAAAGCCACTGCTGAGCTGAAAAAAGTTCGGTAGTCATAGATGCTCCATCCAAACAGCAGGTTAAACTGAAAAGGAGAAAGACCAGTCAGAGGGTCGAGAGCAGTGGAGGTGACCGCAGTTCTTTCTGTCTTGAGGTGCTTTGATGATGAGATTAAAGAAATTCCTTAGTGATCATCCAGTTACTATGCCTAAAAAATACATAAAATTCCTTTGTAATTACATAATTTTTATATAAATTTATTTGACCTTTACATTCTTATGAGCTAAATTTTCTCCCCATTTTAGAGATGAGACACATCTGAGTTTAAGTCATACTACTAATTAAGTATGGAACTACAATTAACACCAGCTTTCTTACTCCACTACCTTTTCTCCAAAACTCATTGCCAACTTGAACTGATGATTGTCCATATCGTGACCCTTTCTCTAAGGGGAGCGACGTGATTCCAAGACCACAGCACTTTGGAAGACAGACACCGTGAAGGGCGGCTTACAGTAATGGCGTAGCCTGTCAGCAGGATCAGAATGACCAGCAGGAAGCTCAGCACCTCATCCCAGGCTTTGCTGAGTGTTCTGCGGATGAGCTGCAGCCGCAGGTTATGATGCAGCAGGTTCCACAGCTGAACAGTTGCCAGCAGAACCAGGAAGCCCATTAGGTGAATGACAGCTGAGTTCACTGGTATTGCCTCATCGAAGTTGATGAACCTGTACCAAGGAAGGCTGACAGTTAGGCAGCATGCAGTGTATTCCGTCATCAACTCCTGTGTTGTCAGTTTCTCCACGGTTCCCACTGCTGAAGTGCAGCTGTTCTTTGAGTCCTGTTAGGTCAAACGCTTGATGTAAGAGCTGCACTTTTCAGTGTGGCCTCCTATATTTGTGGATATGAGAGCATTGGCAAAAAACCATGCATTTAGTTGGGAGCTGAAGAAACCTTGAAATGTGACCTCTTGCTGATTTATTTTTTATTGTTAGTTTCAGGTTTATAGAACAATGCAATAGTTTCCTTTTCACCCTTTGCACAGAAACAACCCCTCTCCCCCATCTACTGCCCTCCTACCCCCGATATTATACTTATCTATTACAATTCCATTGACTCCATTCCCACACTCTACTCCACGTCCTGTGACTATATGTATACATAATTATAGTTGACATACGTTATTATTCAACATCAGCTTCAGAAATACAGTGCGGTGGTCAGGCCTCTACACTGACTATGAAGTGGTCTCCCTAGCAAGACATGAGTCCATCTGGCCCCCTAAAAAATATTTACAACATTATTGATTATATTCCCCAGACTGTCTTTTCTATCCCTGAGGCCATATTGTAGTTACCAATTTGTATTGTCTCATCCCCACCCCTTCCCAACTAGCAACCCTCAGTTTTTCCTGTGTCTGATGAACTAGAGAACATTATGTTAAGTGAAATAAGTCAGTCAGAGAAAGATAAATACCATATGATCTCACTTATATGTGAATTCTAAACTGAATAAATGAGAAATGTAAACAAATAGTCTTGCTGATTTCTTTACTACAGATCCATCCTGGAAATCAAGGCCAACCTTCTCTACTGCTCGGAGTTAAACCTGTCCTCTCAAAAGGAGATGAATTAATGTAATGAGACGGGCAATTATGCTAGTCTGTTTTCTGTGACACTAATCCTGTATTGTTCTCTGGCAGTAGGTAATTGATTCTCAAATAGGTTTAATAGAGCTAAGAGTAGAAAGATGATTGAACTAGAGGTGAGGGGTGCTACTTAAACCAATTAGGGCTTTTTTTTTTAACCAATTAGGTTTTATTATGTGAGAGATGCGTTTCTAACTTTTATGTTGCAGCAGCTAGGTTACTGGGGAAGACCCCCACATATGTGAGCAAGCTGGCACTCGATCACAGTTCTTTTATTGTCTAAGACCTGAGCAGTGCCACTCAGCAGGCTGGACCTCAGCTGCCAACATCATTCAAACTACACAGACCCACCTCCCCTGCATAAACAACCCTCTCTGAGGCCCTCCTGGGACACTGCCTCAGTCCTGTCGAGATAGGTGGCCCAGCCAGGCTCTTGACCACCAAAACATTAGAAAAGCAAGAGATGCTGTTCCCTGTGAGAAAGACCAGAAGGTGTGCGAAGGAGCGCCAGAATGTCTCAGGATGGATGAACGTGCCCACCCAGAGAGCGACCGCTTTGGCTTTAAAGAATGTACTGTGTTGTTTTATTTGAAGGATGGTCATTTGTCATGCCTTAGGCTTTATTCCTTGGCCAGGGTGCAAAATAATAATTTGTGGCCTTGCTATACGAAAGGCAGAAGAGCTTTTCAATGTGATCAGCAGTATATAGATGGCTTCTAGTTAAGTGTTTTCTCTAACGTGCACATCAGTCCGAGCTCTGTGTTTAACTCTAATATTATACAAAAACATAAATCTGGGAGAGCAGCAGGGGGCAGGGGGTAGTTTGAAAGAATACTTGGTTGTAATCAGGAAGTTGAGGAGGAATATCCTGTGATCCTTGGCCCTCTCTTACCTGTCACGGTCACAGCGGTATTGTGCCATGTTTTTCTTATGTAGAGAAGTAAGCTTCATGTCAAGCCCTAAGATGACAAAGCTAATAAGAATTATGCCCACGTCCAGAACGTTTTTTTTCCTCGTGAAGAACCTCCACCTCTGCTGTTTCAGCCGGAGACCCTAAACAGACACCACAGTCACTACTGCTCACCTGGAAGATCACTGGGTCTCTTCCTAATGACGTGTTAGGAACACCGGCAAAGCACGCAGCTGGGGACTTGGCAAATCCAACTTGGACACAACAGGTTGTGATCTTGGTTCTGCTCTGTAGTTACTCAGAGCTGCTACTTAGAGAAAAGGTGCCCTTTCTAATACAACGTTCATGGGAAGTCATTCTTTTTACTGTTGCTTAAATTTAATAAAAGAAACTTCTAAATTTGTTATTAAGCCTGAAGATAAAGCATTGTATTTGGCTTAAGATATATTCGCTTGGGTGCAGTTATCTATATTTTTGAGTACTTGCTCTGTTCATCATACTTTCAATCTCTTGCTATTACCTTATTTATATTGGGATAATACAACTGTACCAAAAATATTCTTTCTACAGACTTAATTCTTTAACTCTTGAAAATTCAAAGAGCTACTCTGTGGAAAACCATTCAGCCGTTAACTGAAGTCAAGCTTCTGGAAAGGATCAAAATCATAGTCATAATTCTTGTAATAGCTCATGGTGGAGTTCCCTAAATACTATCCTGGCAGTCTTGAGAATCTCTTACATCTAACATTTTCAACTCACCTGTATGAAGCCATAGTAACAGACCAGTAGATAATAGAAGACTTGTGAGATGACGGACCAGGCAAAGTCCTTCTTTGATGTCTGAAAGGAAGTTAAAGTGTCCAGTCTTACAGAGGCAAAGAAAGCACCTAATAAAAAAGAACATTTTAGAGTCAAGACTCCTTAAAACTTTTGCCCTTTTCCCTTCAAACTCTTTGCAATAACCTCAGTTATTCCTGTATCATCAATTTCAAAAGTTCCTGAGTTTCTAAACTTAGTATTTCCTCTAGAGATGTCACGATTAAGTGAGATCATGCATGCAAAGCTATTGGAGAAATGTGCCGACTGCACTAGAGTCAGTCGACGGAGAAGATTATACTTGATCCCACCTTGAGGGCAGTGTCAGTGACTTTACAGGTATTACTCTTACCAAGTTACAGTAACTGCAGAGATAAATTAGTTGTGCTATTGCAACATGATTTTAAAGAGAACTGATGACTGTAACATGGAAAAACGGGGAATGGAATTAAGTGTCAGTGTGGGACTTCTGTTTAAAGCTATTTAAAATACATTTTCAGAAATTAGTACAATGAAAATGCTTTGAACCATTTCAAATTTATTTTAATTATGTGTAAAAGCACTAATAGTATCCCATGAATACTCAGATGTTTATATCAGGATAGACTAAAAAGCTTCAGACTTCACCTGGAAAGACAGATTGTTGAAGTTTTATAAAAGTATGAAAGGTCTTGTGAATATAACTTTACAAAAACCCCCAAAGTATTAGAACTAAGGTGGACCCCTTGTAGTAGAAAGTACATTTTAAGAACAAAGGAATTCCTACTTCACATACATAGCTCTCAAGACTGGGACTTTCCCCATGTTTATTTTACCCCTATTTTTTTGGTAGTTAACTAACAATAAAAACCCTATGAAGATCGTCGAAGCCTTCACACTCCATTCAGAAGTACAAGAGATGGGGTCAACTCTGAAAAAATTCCTGATTAGAAGTAACATCTGGTGGTAAACGGAAGGACACTTGTGGGCCAATTCTGGGGAGAGAAGGAAGGAGGACTGGGACAGACTTCCTCTTAGAGGCAGGGGAATTGAAGGTACCGGTTCCCCTCCAGTCCCTTACCAAATGCCACTACAATGACAAGGAAGGGATCAAAAACAAAGATGAATATAAGAGGGCAAGTGAGAGTTATAAACTGTTGGAAGCCAGAAAACAGGTGAATGACATTGACCAGATTCAAGAAAGCCGAAACCTAAGCAGTGCAGGAAACCTAGAAGCAAGCCTATTCTTGCCACAAACAAAACCCTGGAAAGGCTGAGGAACTGGAGGCTTCAGGTACCTCTGAAGGTAGAGTGTCAAGTGGAACTGAAAACAATTGATTGCAAGTCTAAACGTAAGCAATTAGGTCCCAGATCTCCTCTCTCCCTGTCACAACTAGGTATTTGCTATCCATCCTGCCTTCCACGACCCCAATACTAAAGGTTTATATTTCCTGGTGATGTTGAACTAGAGAATCTGAACTCACGGATACCTGCAAGTCTCCTGGAAATGGGAATTAAGAGAAAGTTTACATACTGCACCACGGTGAGGCCCTTCCCAGTCCCCTTTCCTCAACTGGCTCTGAGAACTTAACAGGCTTATATCCTCAAGGCAGGAGTTTGGAGGGTCCCTCTCTGAAAACTGACTGCCCAAGAGAAAGACATAGATACCAGCTGACAAAATCTATCCACGCACACAGAGCTTCTAACCACTTATTTGCTTTTTTTTTTTTTACTGCCTGTCTCTTCAATATGAAAGAACAGCCAGATACTTAAACCTCTAACATTGAAAACTGGAGATCAAAACAAAACAGAAAATAAAAAGCTCAGAAGAATTAGAGGAAGTGAAGGAGCTGATAAAAATAAAATGAACCTATAATACAGAGGGTGGCAAAAACATGTATACACATTTTAAGAAAGGAAAAAACTATTAAAATTGTAATAATATATACCGATATCAAAAGATGAATACAAGTCGTGTATACATGTTTTTGGCACCCCTGGTATCTTCAGCAAGTTGAGAGGATATTGATTCCACAAAAGAACAACAGGAGACTGAAAGAGAAATGAGAACACAATTTTTGGAAATTAAAATATAAAAATGAAAAATCCAGATTGTTTAGAAATTGAAGTAATCTCAGAAAACAGAAGGAAAAGATGGAAAATAAAAGCAAAAACAAGAAAATCAGAGGATCAGTCCAAGAGTTCCTACTTAAAAATTCCAGGAATATCAGAAAAAGAAAACAGAGAACATAGAGGAGAAATTTACAGAGAAAATGCAAGAAAAATTATCAGAATTTAAGGACATGTTTCCAGATTAAAAGACTCAGTATGAGGTCAAGTCCTTTCATAACCCTGGGTACAAAGACAATTCTAAAAACTTGGGAGCAGGGGCCTCCTCATACTGCTTAACAGCAGTATGAGAACCTAGAAGGCAATGGAACTATATTTGTCAAAATTCTGTAAAAAACAATTGTTCCCAGTTAAATAAGCAATCAAATGTGATAGCAGAAAACAATCTATTTTGGACATGTAAGGCTTCAAAAAATTTACTTCCCTTGCACCCTTCCAGGAAGTTACTGTAGGATGTGCTCCAGCAAAATGAGAAAGTAAACCAAGAGAGGAAGACATTGGATCTAGGGGAAATGGGATCCAACAGAGAGGAAAGGGTAAAGACAATCCTTAGGGGACAGTGAAGGGAGAATCCAGGATAAGAGCTCTAGAGCAGGCCTAGAGAAGAACTAACCCAGACTGTACTAAAAGGATGGAGGCCCCTAGAGAGGGTGTCTCTTAAGCTAAAATCATAGGTTACGTGATACTTTTGAACAGAATGCGATTTTTACTTCTAGGAAGAGTGTGCAGATGAACTAATGATAGAATGCATGCAAAACCAAGCAAATTAAAAAAAAAAACGAAAACTCTAGGGAAAACAGTTATGAAAGAAAGGAAATTGTAGTACATTACATGGCTCATCTTTGAAAAATATTATCACAATAATGGAAATACTCAATATTAACCATAGATTATATGACTATATTGGGAGAGTGAGGAAAGAGAAAGGTGTATATGTATGTGTATGTTAGGAATATGTGTGGATATAAGAAAGTAAATCCTCATCATCATGAAAAAATACAACCTAAAACCGAACATTCATGAAATACGCATGTTAAATTTTAAATTCGGAAAGAGCCAGTTTAAAAGCTGAAAGGCGCATCTCTGGGGAGCAGGAATGAGGTGGGGAATGGGGGCTGCTAGCTTTGCCTTGAACTATTTGACTTTTAAAATTATGTGTAGTGACTTTAATTAAACGTCTTTTAATGGTATAAGAAATGGGGACTCTGAGGTACCCAGGGAACAGTGATAGGAGAGAAGAGAATGTCATACCCCCACTGTTGGATTCCAAAATCAGGGTTACTACACAGAACAGGTTCACGTTAGCATTGAAGACCACAAATTCCACAAAGAGGCTTCTCGTGAGACGGTCTAGCCAGTGGCTCTGTTCAAGATGCTGCAGGACTCTGGGAAAACAGAAGGACAGCTCTGCTACTTTGTCCGTTCAACCCTGCAAAGCAGGAAAATGTCCCGCCTTTCCGGTATTACTCACACCCCATGAGAAGCTACATTTCCCAATCTGGTTCACCTGTACAGTGTTTTATGGTTACTAACGGGCAGTCTTTCACTAGTGTTAAAATGAATATACATTTAGAAGGCTATAAATATGAAAATCTCACAATAGTGATCACACCAAGGTTACTTGTTCAAGAATAGATATTTGGCATTGAAAGTCTGAGGTAGAATTAGTTTTATATGCTAATTCTATATATATAATTCTATATATATAATAAATTTTATATTCAAATTTATATTTGAAGTGCTATGCTGCTCATTACTAACAGCTATTCAGTTTTGAGAGGTGTAGGGGGTGGAAATGGCATTTGGTTGGCACTGTTTTTAATTAACTTCTTGCTATAAGTTTAAATGAAGAGATGATCATTTTAATTTAGACTTTTTCATACATAATGACAAAGACTCTCAAGGTTCATATACAAAACCACTCCATAAGTCTCTGGCAATTTAACTTGGGCATTTGAATTTTGGATTGATGGTGGTTCGTGAAGGGCAGTGTTTTACATTTGATGAGTACAGTTTGCCTAAGCTAGAGTTACCTGCGTTTAACTGCAGCTAAAATTGAAATTGATGTTTTTCCAGCTGAGAAAAGGAATGAGAATTGGCAAAACAAAACATACCTGGTAGTCTGAGGTTGAGCAAGGAATTCTTCAACTAAAAGACATTTCCTTAGCAGTATAAAATAAAAGTGTCACAGTATAGTAGCACCGTAGCTGTCAAAACTCCTCAAACAGGTCCTTAATTCCTCCTTGTCCTAGAATGGACAGAAGCAGACACCTTGATCCTCTGTTTAGGGCTCAGTATTGCTCACCTGATGGCAGCAGTGGAGTTTCTTCCAAGCCTGACAACATAGCCTCCTCCCGAGTACGTGGCAAACTCCCCCTGGATTGGGTAGCCACCCAGCGTCTCTTGATTCTGATAATGCCACATGCTGTCTGCTTCTGTGTGGTTTGCTTCAGGAGGCTGCCAGTTAACCCCGTAGTTCTCTGTATCCTCCAGGTCTTGGTGAGATGGCTCCACTTGTTCTTGGGGAGATACTCCAGTTGGAAAGACTTTGGCACTAGGGGAGCGAATCTGACGAAGCAGAACATTGCCCAAAAGGAAGGAGTTCCCGTCAGTAATAAATCCTAATGAGAGGATACAAGGAGCCACTGTAAAAATTGCCTCATTAAGTTAGTAACAAAAAATGAACACTATGACCATTGTTTCTAAAAACACTTTAGGAGTTTCTAGTGAATGCAACCAGATTAAAAAAAAAAGAAATGAGTATAAAACTAAGAAAGGAAGTAAAATGATAATTTGTAGATAATGATCTAGACAGATCATGAGAATCAAATGAAAGACGTCAGCAAGATGGTGGGATATTAGGTCCCTTGCTTGTATCTCCTCACCAATAATCTGGCAGCCATCCAGACAAAAGTGCCCGTGTGGGAGCTTTGGGATTGAAGGAGGCAATTATGAAACTCCGGTGGAGTCCAAGACCAACAAGTCCGTTTTGAGAAGGGAGGTCCCGCAGGTGCAGACTCACCAGCTGTGGGCCTGGTGACAGACCTAGAAATAGCTTTGTCATCCTGTGGACTTAGCTACAGCGCCATCTGACCTTGGTCCTGCCACCAGCACTATATGCCAAGGGACACTGGAGGAGTTGCTCATGCCTGTGCCTCAGATAACAGGCCTGCAGATGTCAGTCCCGTCCCCCCCCCCCCGACCCAGCTCCGGCCCCTCTCAGCCATGGTCAGAAGCCCCTGCAGGCAAGCTCACCAAATAGTCTGCCTGAAGATCCTGGGACAAACAGCCTTATAACTTTCCAAACCAAAACCCAAACAAAACAGGTAACTATGTGAAATGGAAATGTTAATGAGCTCAGTTGTGGTAAACATTTCACAGTGTATTTGTATATCAAAACATCATGTTGTACCTTAAATACATGCAGTTTTTGACAATTAAACCTCAATAAGTCTGGGAGAAAAAGAGAATCAACCTAAAAACTATTACTTACAAAAAGATAATTCAGCAAAGTGGCTGGGTGCTAGATATAAAGAAATCAATAGCCTTCATATATCCAAACAATATTTACTTAGGAGGTACAGAGAAATAAAAGATCTCATTTACAACAGCAACACAAAAAGTAAACCTAACGAGATGTGCAAGAATTATATGAAGAGCAATTTTGAATATTACTAAGAATGAGATGAGAACAGAAAAGCATACCATATTCCCAGATAAGAGAACATCATAGAGATAGCAGTTCCCTAAATTAATTTGTAAGTTTTAGTTTGTATCTATATAAATATCTAAATCTATATCTACAACTAAATAAGCTCTTAATACATAAAAGACTCCCACTTATCAAAATAAGCAAAAAAAAACCAAGCAGCCCCCACTCCCTCACCCCGCAAAAAAACTAACATTGTTTAAAAAAACCAAACCAAACCAAGCAGACCAATGACAGATGGGCAAAGATTATGGAACGACATTCATTCAGTCTTTCCATTTATATGTATTGAGTGCTTGCATATACCGGTCCTGTTCTAGGTGCCGGGATGCAGCAGTGGACAAAAGGGAGCCCCTCCCTGTGCCCAGAGACCTCCCATTTGAGGAGGGAGACAGGCAATCATCAGACAGTATTCAGGTACTGATAGTGCTGCGAAGAAAAATTAAGTAGGATGAAGGAGTAGAGAGTGTTTTGTGGGGAAGGAGCAGTGTTTTTAATTTAGGAAGGGTGACTAGAGGTGGTGGTGATCTGAGGAGGTGACTTATAAAAAACGAATAAATGCAGGTATCAATCAGGGCAACAGTGAGGTCTAAGCCCGCCAGGCAGAGCACACTGGGTGTCTAAGGAGAGCTCAGAGGCCTCGTGGCCCATGCAGAGTGAATGAGGGTGAGACGGTAGGAGATGAAGTAACAGGTGGAGCGGGGGGGCCGGCTGGGCAGGCCCTCGTAAGCTCTGGAAAGGGTTTGGGATGTTAAATGTGATGGAATCCATTGGGAGATTCTGAACAAGGGAGAAACACTGATTTATGTTTAAAAAAAAATAATGGGGAGGATGGAATGAAGAAGGACAAGAACAGAGACAAGTTTTGCCCATGTGGGAGGTGAAAAATAGTACCTTATTTTAGTTTTAACTTACTTTCTCATGAGTGCAGTCGCAAAGCCTTTTGTATATTTTAGCACTATGTGTATTGTTTGAAAATAACAATTTTCATGGGGCTGTTGTTGATGTGTGCAGACATATACATTGCTCATGGGAGTGTTAATTGGAACAATAACTAAGGAGAGCCATTTGGCAAAAATCTTTCTAAATTAAAAATGTATATACATTTTTAGCAAATCTTTTCAAGGTATTTATCTTACAGATGTATTTGTACGCATGTAAAATTACGTATGTAAAATGCTATTAATTACGTATGTAAAATGCAATATTGTTAACAATAAAAGACTGGAAACCATCTAAATGTCTGTCAATTAGGAGCTCGTTATATAAATTATGGTACATCTATATAATGGAATACTATATAGTAAATGAATAAAACATAATAGGGGTAGCTTTATATATACTGATGAAACAATTTCTAGGTAAATTATTAAGGGAAAAAAGCAAAATGCATGACAATGTTTACAGTATGCTACCATTTATCCTCAAATATTTTTGCAAATACATAGATTACCTCTGAAAGAATATATAAATTTTAGCATGTAGTTGCCTCTTGGAAATAGAAAAGGGGGATCATGGAACAAAGGAGAGTTGCACAATATACAGTTGTACATTGAATTTTCTCATGTTTTAATTATTAACAAACATTTTAATATGAAAGAATGATTATGTTAGAGAATTTAGCAGGAACAGTTTTGCAGTAGTTATTAAAGGACAGAGTTCTGCAGAAGATAAAAGAGAAAGGTAAGAAGTGACAACCTTCAAATATGGTCTCACTTTGTATTTCCTAAATGAAAAATATATACAATTATGCTAAATTTTGATCAGTTGTTTTCCATCTCAGAAGTCAAAAGAGAAAAAGCAAGCTTAAATTACTGCAAGAGAAATTTAAATTTAAAGAAATTTTCCTACAAAGAAAAATACCTTTCCCTAAATGTGATTAAACACTGGACCATGCTGTTGAGGACAGTTATATATTTACAGGATATAGATTATCTGCGGTGAATGGCTTGGGCTTCAATGTTCCTAAAATTAACTGAGTAACTAGGACTGGGCTACATCAATTCTGAAAGTAAAGAGTTTTCAGAGATGAAGACATAAACCATTTTAGTGCCAATTTTTACTGTGCTTCACCCCATGTCTACTTAGTTCTACTTCTTTATCTACATGTATAGAATGCTGTTGTTCTGATATGCCCAGGTAACTCATGTACCTTTGTGGTTCTAGCAGATTAGCCCAAGCTCCAATTGTTCCAGTTAATAATAGCTAATACTTGTCCAGCGAATACTATGTGCTAATAAACTGTTCTAAACACTTAGATCTACCAAGCTTCTGGTCTTCATATCAATCTTATAGGGTAGATCCTAAGATTAGCCCCACTGTGTAGATGGGGAAACTAAGGCACAGAAGGTTGAGGAATTTACCCAAGAACACACTGCTGATGAGTGGAGAGCAAGGATGTGCATGCATCCGGGCAGTCTGGCTTCTGTGTCTGTGCTTTTGGACCATGACACTGAACTGCAGAACCAGGGAATCCAAGAAAAGAGCCATGCCTGTCGTGACAGCACTGGCCTTAGCCACCTGCAGCTCAGATTGCTTTTTATCTAGTCAGTATTTTCTTCGGCATAGACAGTTACAGATTGCAAATGGAATGTGCCCTGCACCTAGAACTGTCGTCATCTAAAACCGAACTACAAAGAATCAACATGCAACGAACAGGAGTTGCCATCTGTACAAATTCTTTTTTTTTTTTTTTATAAAGATTTTTGTTGGGGAATTGGGAGGATGGGAACAGTACTGGGGAGTTGGGGGAAGGGGAACAGACAAGTTGCTGTCCTTTTGTTCTTCAGTCTAGTTGTGGAGGACGTTGCTTCT